TGCTACGCTACCAACTCGGTCGATGTTGGACCATATTTCTGCTGCCCTGTCTGTAAGTTTATCCCCAATCTTGCTTTAGATTTTTCTGAGAGTGAATTTTTATTAGAAAAATTATCAGGGTCCACTTACGGTGCAGCTTGGAGACCAGCTACTCCATTCTACAACTATGTTCCACCTATGCCAGCTAACTGGCCTGATGTCATGAAAGTTACTGCCAACTGGCCATCCGCTGCTATCGGACTTCCTGTGAAAGCTAGAAAGGTAATTCCTTATTTTCCTTTATTTTATCGTTTTACTCAATGAAATATTTTAAGCCCGTCTCCAACCAAGAAGAGACGGAAGAAACAAGCCAAATAGGATCGTCCATAAACGATTGGCTCGAGAGACAAGCCGCTCTGGTAAGTTACTATCATTTTCAAAACTGATAAAATCCAAATTTTGCTTTTCAGTAAGCCGAAGCTCAATGCTAGCGATATCTGTACAAAGAGGTTCAAATCGTTGTATAAATTATTTCTATGATGACAGTATTGATTCTAGCAGTGTCTAAATAAAAGTCGTATAATTTGTTTATTTCCTGGGTAGAGAATGTTCTACCATGAATCGAATGCTCACGCTTGTATTTGTCACGATTTCAAATAATAAACGGCATGAGAATGACAGAATACAGTAGTTTGTATGATCCCGTTTTTGTGTGGAACAGTAAGGTAGCGTGATTATGAATAAACTGCACATTCACCACAAAATTCACGGATAGCGGTTCGGTTATATATAGAGGAATGCCGTCTACCTTTGGCAACGAATGCCTATCAGGAAATTTCCATCAATTTGATGTGCTGGAGATTTTGGGTTTACAAAGCTCAAGCTATGCTTCCCATAAAGAAGCAGGGATGCCCTCATTATAATTAATGTACAGGGTGTCCCAAAAGTGTGTATTCACATTTGATCGTTGATATCTCTCTTTCAAAGAATTCTCTTGCCTCACTGTAGGAACCTTGTAGAGCTCTCTTCAACTTAGATTTACAGTAAGGAGCGAATCACCGATCTCTCCT